GGACGGTGTCCGCTGCGCCGCCCGCGGCAGCTTCCCGGACGTCACGTGGCACTTCAGCTTGCCCAGGGACGTGCGCTTCGGCGGCTCGGCCTGCGCACGGAATCTAACAGATTCAAAAACCCCGGCCTGTGGCCACATTGCCTACAAATTTAAAAACCCCGGCCTGTGGCCACATCGCCCACAACCCAAACTTGCGCCCTGGCGCTACAGGTCAAACAAGTCCTGCCTGGCAAACAGAAATGACATGTCACGAAATGTAATGTCAATGTCAATGTCAATATCACTGTCCCACTAAACAAACAGACCTTGCCGCTTTTGCCTCGCCCAAAAGCTCAATATAGGGATCCAAGACCAAGGGAGCAATCTAAATGGCCCCCCACTCCCCGGCCTTTGCTATAAAACCGAGCTCGCCGGCTCGAGCAAGGAACTCCCATGGCGTGAGCAAGTTGTTCAGGCGGAAGTTGTACTGCGACCACGTCTTGGAGTAGACCTCGTAGATCTTGTCGTAGTTCCTCTCAAGCCACTGCAGCGGCGTGATCTCGGGGAGGGCATACCTGCTTGAGCGCGTGCGTGGGTGGTGAGAGCTCAAGTCGATGATGGCGCGGATCGAAGACAGGTGCTGCGCAATAGCCCCCGGCCTGTGGCCCGTCATCAGCATGAGGATGAGGGCCGCCCAAAAGGGGCTCCGGTGTGCGCCATTTTTGCACGACGACAGCACCCGGGCCCCCGCCAGCAGAGCGGAGATCACCAGGCCAGCGATCGTCATCGCCTCGGCGAACGTCGTGTGGCCTGTCACCACGCTCGTGCCGTCGCACGTTGCCAGGTGATTAAGGCGACTGTCTCTCACGACAGGCGGGGTTTTGGCGGCAGCCAGCGTCGAGCTTGTCCCGTTGCGGGTGAGGGTGCCGATGTCGCCGCTGGCTGCGGCGCCGCCAACCCACATCTCCGCCCCGGTAGTTACCGAGCTCCACACCATGTGCATCGGGTGCCTGCGGTCAATCTAGGCCCATGGCCAACCAATCTACAACAAAGCCACAAGTCAAAAAAGACACCAAATAAACGGCTCTTAAAATTTAAGGGTCTTTGGTTGGTGCTGATTGCTTGACACTTATCTTATCTCATCATATCTAACATGGAGTTATTGCCATACTTCCAGGAGAACAGCACGATTAATAGTGCGACCAACAAACAAATGTTCAAATGGGCTCAAGCGAGCAAGCACGGACAGCGACAAATAGGGATGAGAGGCAGGCAAGTTGCCGCGAGTTGTACGCGTCCCTGGCCATCTTGACAGCCTCCACGTTGCCGTAGCTGTCCGTGACCAGGTTGCCGAACAAGTCTGCCACGGCCTCGTGGCCTGGGCCTGCCATCGCCAGGCCAACGCAGAGCGGGAAGCGGGGGTCTGCCGGCGCCACCTTCTGGGCCAAGGTGCCGCCACTAGCCCCGGCCTGTAGCCCTGCCGAGCTGACCACAGAGCTCTCCACCGACGAGCTCAGGCTGTCTGACCCCGGCAAGTTGCCCGACGCTGGCGCTGCCTCGGCCATGGCCGTGAGCAAAGCAAGGGCGAGTGCAAAACAGACACAGTGTAGACCAAAACGGCTGCGGAGCAAAAGCAATCCAACAATGTCAACGTCACATGTCATGTCATCTAAATGTCAAAGAATGCGTTTCTCCGCTCCCCCACCCCCCCCGCCCCTCAGCCCCCAATGTCCTGTCCACGGCCCTGGGAAGAACGCGAGCAGCTCTTCGAAGGACTTCCGCCGCCGGCCCTGTGGATGCGCGCCTCCTTGAGCGCCAGCGCCCTGCTCCCCGGCTGCGTGGCCCTCCTCGCTGTCATCCTCCAAAAAAACGGTGCACAACCCCACCAGTTTGCGAGCGCATCGCTGCCCTTCGGCCCACTCTGCGTGCAACCCGGCTGGTAGCCTGCCCCACACTTGCAAGGTCTTCTCCAAGGCCTTGCCTACTTGGGCCCTCAGCCCGGCAAGGCAGGCTCGCTTGTTCATGACCTTTGACATGCAAAAGCAGCCGCCCAGGTTCCCCAGCAGCTTTGTCAGCTGCTCCACCACATTGCCGGCACGGTGCTGCGCGCACAGGATTGGAAGAAAGAGGTGGTCGGTGGGCAGCGATTGGTCCAGGTGCCGGAGAAGTCGAAGGTTTGCTGCATGAGCATCGCAAGTCGTCAGCGTAGCCACACGCTTGGCGGCCACGACCAGTGGCCCCAAGCCACCCCGACCAGTGGTCAGCGCTAGCCACATAGTCTGCGAGTTCATGGCGCCCATGCTTTGCGGCGCCCGGAAGCAGTCTTCGTCATACACTTCCCCGGCTTGTAGCCCGCAGTTGTCGGGCAGAGCCGCGCTGGCTGGAAAGGCAAAGGTCCATTGACCATGCGAACAAAGAATGGAGTGCACCGTTGCCGGCTCGGTGCTAACACGTAAGTCAAAGGACGACTCGTCAAACATCAAATTGCGCACAAAGAAGTCGCAAGCGGCTCCCCACGAGACTTGGGCAACCTCCTGCATTTTATCTTCTTGGGCTGCTAGAAGCGCCCGCGCAACCACGTGTCTAGCCGCGCCGGCGTGCGCCGGGCTTGCCCCATCGATCTCATTTGCAATTTGTCGTAGGGTGGAGGTCTCTGTGCCAAATCCGGCCCGTACAATCGCCGTCGGCGTCCACGCTTTCCAGCCGCTTCTACCTTTCAGCCGGGTTCTACTCAATGCCGTCCGCGTGTTGGGGACCAAGAAATCTCCGGTGCGCCCCCGCCCACTTTCATTGATAAATGAAGTCTGCATGTCTAGCGAACGTTCGTTTCTCTATTGGGTGTTATTCTTTTTCCCCGGCCGGTGGCCTGCCACTTGCTGGACTCTACCATCCTGCTGGGGACCTTCTGCAGCCTCTATCGCTTCGCCGCCCGCGTCATGCTCGGCCAAAATGGCCATGATTTGGTCCAGGTCCATGGCAGCGCCGCATCAGCCGCGGGCACTTTGGCCAAGGCTGGAGTTAGGAAACAGCAAACGACAGGCGGGCTCGAGCATGACAAAAAGGAAAGACTCATGCCACGCTGTAACTTGTAAAATGATTTTGGGCGCTAGCAAGATGTATTGCGCAACATGTGAATTGCTCGGGCTTGGCAGCTTCCAAACCAAATATTATCTACCGTAGGCTTGCCAAGGCGTATATCCTACCGGTGACTAATATCACGCTGCTTCTCAACATGGAAGATGATATAACAAACAACATTTCCATGAGCCATACGAAACAAAAGGATTCAAAAGGGTTTCGCGGATTGTCCTATCATTGTGCTTAGGGACCGTAGGAATTATGTTAAATAATGTTTAAATGTAGTTTAAAGTATTTAAACATTTTTGTGTTTTTTTTGATTTAAATATTTTTGTGATTTAAATATTGTTGCTTTTATTAAAATAACATGTTTAAATAAATTTAAGATGTTAAGATTTCTGGAAAATATTTCCCTGTTTTTTGTGTCGCACACAGCACAAGCTCTCTTAAAAACAATCAACCTATAGTCTGCAAAGTTAATGGACGCCCTGCGAAGGGCTAGAGTTGATCCAATTGGATTGTTCTATATCCGATTTGGATGTTGACGTCCTAATTATAATGTTCTAAGGGCTAGTGGTCCTGTAATCATCTTAATTAAGCTTCAAGATCCTGCAGGGACGTGGACAACCAGCCAGAAATGTTGTACCTGGCGGGAAAAAATGATCAATCCCCCTCGACCATCATATACAGCGGCGAACCTATCGACCACGTAAAACACAGCCACAGGAACCCCAGGGTGCCATCGGCCCGACTAGTTCGTACGGCCGCGTCTGTGTCGGGAATAGCGAAATGGCATGTTGGAAGTCGGCCCAGCAGACTGAGCCGCCATGCTAGATTGCCGTGTTTGTCCCTGAGGATGAGAAAGGGAGCACCTGGGTGGGGCATGGACCTGTGCAGGAGGGGGAATGCACTTGACGCGCAAGAACCAGATAGAGGCTCCCTGATGCGTGGGGGAGGATAGTGCCTTGGAAGTACCTACCTGGACCTACCTGACTCACGGGATCGGATAGCGGGTTAGCAAGTGACGTGCGGGGTTGGGCGTTTTGGGGGGGGTACGGTTAAGCCTAGCAAAAGCTTTGGATCATGAAAGGTCACAACTTGAACTTCTCCAACACGACCACGGAGGAGAAAAAGCTGCTCTGACACACTTTGCAGAATCAAGCGCCAACCCATGTCTTTGAGTATCCATGGACAGCAACAATCACTGATACAGCTGTTGCACTGAGGGATTCGACCCGGATCAAACAAGCTTAGGACTCCCGCCAAGATGGGACACTTCCCTGCAATCTAAGCTTGGCTTGTCAAGCCTGCCAAGGACATGATCGACCACCCGCTTGGAAGCCATAAACTACTGAGAACCACCGAGTGACACTTGGGGAGTGCAGCAACTGAAGGAGAGACTTGAGGTATGGCGGCATCAAGACTTCAAGCCCGCAAGCCTTGGCTCCATTTGAAAAAATACATTTTTTTAGCCAGTTCCGCCTTTTGCTCCCAGTTCACGAACCAGCGCAATCTGTCCCTGTTTTGTAGAAACCCCTTTCCTGGCGTCGGATCCCTATTGAGGGGTCCGACCATCCGAAAAACCCCCAGGTGAAAGGACGCTTTCATCAAGGCAGTGACGTTGAGCAACTCTCAACTCAACTCGTTCAGTCCACGACTCAGTGCTGCTGGCGATTTGGCTTGAGTCGTCCCCAATGTCAACACATGTGCACTTTGCGGCGCGAACCCTGTTTGAGCCATTGGGGGGGACAAAACTGGGCGCCATGCCCAGGCTGATACAAAGAACCCCAACCCGGAAAATGTGTCATTCCTGCTCTGTGTGTGAAGGTTGCTTGCCAAAAAGTTGCCCAACAAAAGGTAGCTGTCAGCAGTTCGCAGCTGAGGGCATGAAGCAATTCTTTACTTAAGCTACAAAATGATGCCACATAATTTTGACGAGAAGCATCTTGGTCGCCTGCGACTCCGCCTGCATCGAGTGGCCATGTTTCAGCCCCTTGCTGTCAACCTAGTTCCCTCAGAAAACTGCTGGGAATGATGCACCTCTGAATTAGTGTTACAACTACAACAGGTGGCTGTTAGAAAGTGCAGCTAGTGCTTGGGGGCATGGGAGACAACACGTGCGACTTCACCCTTAAGGTCCAGAAAGGGGTGCTTCAGCCCCTTCGTCTGCCAAGACAACGCTACGGGTAATTAATTCAGCACGTCTGTCTCCTGGAGGGAGTGAATGAGAAGTCATGTTTCCCAAGCAAATGAACGGGCATCCGAAAGCCTGCGAACAGGTTGCTTTGGAGGGCACTCTCTTACACCTGACATGGTGTGTCATTTGAGCGTCCCTTCTTGGGATGGCTTTGAAGGCAAACCAAATGAAGAACCACCGATGGCAAGAATTACAAAATCATCCGGACCCGCTCTCTGGATGAGTTTCTGACAGAAACCGATAGGAAAACAACCACCTAGCTGAGATCCCTAATTTTGGGAAATACCCAGCGCATACCCAGCGCTCATCGCTTGGACCTGCCACTACTTGCTGACTGCTGATCGCTGCTGCTTCTTTTTGGAACGTATGCCGACCACGGGAAAGCAGCTCCGACCAGCACAGCTGCAGAATAGGCTGTTGCCCCCCCGGCAAGGCAACTACCTCTGGCCCATGAGAACAGCAACCAAACAACTAGCAAGTGGCAACGATTTGAGAACGCTATACATGGCAACGGACTGTTGGCCTGCCACAAGCCCATCACCCACAAATGGTGGCTCCAGCAATCCCAAAAAGGGGTTCTCCTATTGCTTGTTCGGGACATATGTGTTTTATATGCATGGAACGAGTGCTGGGACAGCCCTCCGGAAGCTGCTGCAGCTAACACATGTCCGTCGCCTGCTGCGTACCCGAAACATGTCCGTCGCAACACACAGCCAGTTCAGTCGCAGCGAACAGAACCGGAGCCAAAAACAATCCACGCACTGCACACTATTCTCGCCAGGCACACTAAGTGACTCCCTACTTAGTTAGTGAATTCCGAGGAGGGTTCTGCGAGGCTTCCGCATCTGCAAAACCCATATACGGGTGTGGTGCTGTTATCAGCAGAGCTTTTTTGGGGGGGGGGACACGGTGGAAAGACACACCCAAATACCTGCACCCAGCCCTCTCCCCAAAACCGCGCCATTGCGCCTCCATACGCACCGTCACCGACTCAGAGCTCAGCTCTGCCTGCAGAATGCGCCTCAGCAAAATTTCGGCGAGCGAAGCCGGGTGGCCCATGCGGAAAAGTGGGCCCTGTGAATCTTCCAAAAGCGAAAGCAAATAACTTGCAGGTAGAAAATGAGCGGTTTTTGCGTGTGGGTGCTGCCGCGGCCATGCTGTACTTGCTTTTCCCAACTCCTTTTGACATGAAAATGCCCCCGTAAACTGGTTGGCTTACCGTTGCCTAAACCAAGATTCAAGAGGTCCCTGGTTTCGGCATATTGCAGGGGTCTCGTCATTTCCCCAATTCAAGAGACGATCTATTTACCGGTTGGTGTCCCTTGAAACGATCGCCCCTTTTGGTTCCAACAACTTGCTGGTGCGATAGGTGGGGAATGAGGGAATGAACCGTTTTGGCACTCCGGAATAAAAGAAAGCACCAGTTGGATGGTTTATGGGGGTCATTCCCTCATTCCCTGCTGAGCACCAGCAAGATATCAAGGCTTGTAAAACAAGGGGATCAAAGAACTAACCGTGAAGCACAACTAACAGTAAAACGAGCCCACCTAATATGTGGGCGTTGATTAAAATGTAAATGGGATGACCATTGGGGAAAACCACGAAACATGATATGTCACCAAATTGGAAGAATTAGCCGTTTTCATTTGAGGGGCAGGAATATTGATCAACCCAAAATGGAAAGCTGAGATAAGCAAGAGGACAACTAGGACCAGCCCCCAAAAAAAATCCCTCCCGCAAACACAACCTTGACCCACCATCCCAAAACAAGACTCAACCTTGGCCTAAGGCAAGCAGTACCTGGAAACAAGGAAGAGCCACGCCCATGTTCTCAACACGAAGCAGTGCCTCACTTTGGCCCTATGGTCCAGCGGAATGGCTGTGGATGGTTGCGAAATCCGCTTCTCGCGCCTGAGTCACACTCAAAACCGATCGGTATTAACAGGGTCGTTCCAAAGGTACCACGCCCTTAATCGACCGTAGGCCCGCAGCAGCATTTTGGGAGGGGGGGTTTCGGGGGGCAATGGCTCCGTTCATTTTGCGCCTATTTTAAAAAGTGGTCGTACTTCCAGGACCATGTGAAGAATGAAGAAGGCGGCGAAGGCACCCATGTTTGGTTGGGATTATCCCTAACCTTCATCTAGCCAGGATTTTGATTGTGGCTCACCTAAGTAGCCCTGGAATGATTCGATTCCCCTGGACATATCAACAAACAATGGTTTCAACCATGGTTTCAGAGTGGGAATTTCCTCCATCCACAGTCTGGCTCCAAATTTGCACATATGTCCATTTGCCAGGGCCGGCCATGGGCCGAGTCCGATTTTCCCGGCCGACTTCCTTCGACAAGCCCATCACCCCGGTTCCTGTGGCGCCCAACTGCAGCAAGGAGTCTAACTTCTGCAGCCCTTCATCTTGGGCCTGCGAGTCTGCGAGTCTCCGTGCCATCGAGTGATGTCATGCAAGCAGGGCAGCCGGCAGCCGCCGGCTGAAATAGAGAGAGATAGAGAGAGCGAGAGAGAGAGGCGGACACAAAAGGCGTGGATGACTAAGTCATTCTTAAGTGTTAGGCACCTAAACACGCATTGTCAAAACAAAACTTGTGGGGATGGCTCAAAATGCAGCACCAAAAACCCATAAGGTCCACAGCCCGGATTTGGGCAACTAGGACGCTCCAAGATCGGGCACCAAGGAAGGATGTTCTTTCAGCCATGTGCCTCCAAACCTATGGACCCTCTTTACCCAAGATGGGTAAGGGCCTCAATATTTAGAATGGGGACGACTAAACGCTAAGTCATGCTGCTAAGATCATCATGTTTGCATCTATTTAGGCTCTTATATCAAGCAGTTGGATGCAATTTTGCAAACTCAAAAGGTCACTAATAGAACATGGTTCAACATACCTGACTACATTTGGCTTTAAGTACCCCACAACCCCATGCTTGTCATTTGGGCTTTGATAGTAGCAACTCAAAAGGCACTCCCCTGAATGGGGCCTGGTCTCCCTACGATCTCCTTATAAGCACCCCCCAAAAGGGGCACCTACTGCAACACGACACTCCTCTCTCCGACCAGTCGGAGGGTCACTCCGCCTGCGCCCGGCGCAGAACTTTGGATCGCCTGCGCAGGAGTAGCCCTGCCACCTGACGGCTTTGCAATGAAGGCCGGAACGATCTTCCCGTGTTTGAAAGGCTTGAACATCAACGTGGGTAAGTGTCGAACTGGCCAAACAAAAAAAGAAAAACCTCGCTTCCAGAGTATTGGCCAAAAGTCCAAACTGGCCGGTTTTCAAGTAAAATGGCCTCAAGTGAGAAACTGACGAAAAGGCCGGCCACCCATTGGCCGCCCAAAGCTGGGGCTGCCACTACGGCCGATGCAGACGCCCGCGCATCAAATGCGAAGCCGACCCGGACCTAAGCTACAAGTCCCACTTGTCAGTCCGTGGAATTCGTCCTATGGATATTTGTGGCCCGAAATCCCAATTTGTCAAGAGCACTGGCCCGAAAATCCAGTCCTTGTCAAGAGTGTGAGGTCAGGAGCGACATCTGTCCGTGTTTGGCTCTATCAATCTGGCTATACAGTCTTGCAAGGCCGTACCATGAGCCCCCAAGTAAGACAAGGTAGGGTAGGCCCTCCTACTAACTTGGTCAACGAAAGTGGTTTTAACGGCTCAAGTATCTTTTATCTCATTCTCCTCCAAATCCGTCCTATCCCCCTGGGAAGATTGCAGGCAGAGCGGCGACCTCAGAATTGCCCGACCGCCGTCTTGACCAACGGAAAAGTATGGCAACTCACTTCCTGAGTGGACTGGCCATAAAAGACCCAAACTTGTTCTTTGCCACTAAACAGGTCCAAACCCAAAAACAACAGTAAAGTCCATAAACTCCAAGTGAGATAACCCTCTTGCTTCAGCCTGGACAAAATGAGCTAGAACATACTTCCAAGAGTGAAATCGAAAAACCACCAGGGACCACAAAAAACATATTGAGCAAATGGAAGTAACTCGGAGGCTCCATGGCTGCTCAGCTCCGAGCTTTGCGCGCTGAAGGTCTCGGGGCGGAAAGCCCAGCGCTCGGAAGGCTCGGCAAGGCGCCAGAGGCCGCCTCGCGGATCGGCGGCGTTGAAAGGTGACGAGTCGAAAGGAAGCGTCTCCCAAGCACCTTCCCCCCCAAAAAAAACACTGCTTTCTGGATGTGACACCCCAGCCCCAGAAATAGCTTCTTTCTGGACACCTCAGCTGGGGTTTTGAAGGAAGCGTCCCCCAGAAATAGCTTCTTTCTGGACACCTCAGCTGGGGTTTTGAAGCAAGCGTCCCCCAGAAATAGCTTCTTTCTGGACACCTCAGCTGGGGTTTTGAAGGGTTCTGAAGGAAGCGTCCCCCAGAAATAGCTTCTTTCTGGACACCTCAGCTGGGGTTTTGAAGGAAGCGTCCCCCAGAAATAGCTTCTTTCTGGACACCTCAACTGGGGTTTTGAAGGAAGCGTCCCCCAGAAATAACTTCGTTCTGGAAACTTCAGCCGGGGTTTTGAAGGAAGCGTCCCCCCAGAAATAGCTTCTTTGTGGACACCTCAGCTGGGGTTTTGAAGAAAGCGTCCCCCAGAAATAGCTTCTTTCTGGACACCTCAGCTGGGGTTTTGAAGGAAGCGTCCCCCAGAAATAGCTTTTTTCTGGACACCTCAGCTGTGGTTTTGAAGGAAGCGTCCCCCAGAAATAGCTTCTTTCTGGACACCTCAGCTGGGGTTTTGAAGGAAGCGTCTCTGCAGAAAATAGCTTCTTTCTGGACACCTCAGCTGGGGTTGTGAAGGAAGCGTCCCCCAGAAATAGCTTCTTTCTGGACACCTTTGCTAGGGGTTTTGAAGGAAGCGTCCCCCAGAAACAGCTTCTTTCCAGACACCTCAGTTGGGGTTTTGAAGGAAGCGTCCCCGAGAAATAGCTTCTTTCTAGACACCTCAGCGGGGGGTTTTGAAGGAAGCGTCCCCCAGAAATAGCTTCTTTCTGGACACCTCAGCTGGGGTGTTGAAGGAAGCGTCCCCCAGAAATGGCTTCTTTCTGCACACCTCAGCTGGGGTTTTGAAGGAAGCGTCCCCCAGAAATAGCTTCTTTCTGGACACCTCAGCTGGGGTTTTGAAGGAAGCGTCCCCCAGAAACACCTCAGCTGGGGTTTTGAAGGAAGTGTCTTCTTTCTGGACACCTCAGCTGGGCTCAAGCGTCCCCCAAGAAATAGCTTCTTTCTGGACACCTCAGCTGGGGTTTTGAAGGGTTCTGAAGGAAGCGTCCTCCAGAAATAGCTTCTTTCTGGACACCTCAGCTGGGGTTTTGAAGGAAGCGTCCCCCAGAAATAACTTCTTTCTGGACACCTCAGCTCGGGTTTTGAAGGAAGCGTCCCCCAGAAATAGCTTCTTTCTGGACACCTCAGCTGGGGTGTTGAAGGAAGCGTCCCCCAGAAATAGCTTCTTTGTGGACACCTCAGCTGGGGTTTTGAATCAGCTGGGGTTTTGAAGGAAGCGTCTCCGCAGAAAATAGCTTCTTTCTGGACACCTCAGCTGGGGTTTTGAAGGAAGCGTCCCCCAGAAATAGCTTCTTTCTGGACACCTTTGCTTGGGGTTTTGAAGGAAGCGTTTTCCCAGAAATAGCTTCTTTCTGGACACCTCAGCTGGGGTTTTGAAGGAAGCGTCCCCCCAGAAATAGCTTCTTTCTGGACGCCTCAGCTGGGGGTTGCAAGGAAGTGTCCCCCTCAGAAATAGCTTCTTTCTGGACACCTCAGCTGGGGTTTTGAAGGAAGCGTCCCCAGAAATAGCTTCTTTCTGGACACCTCAGCTGGGGTTTTGAAGGAAGCGTCCCCCAGAAATAGCTTCTTTCTGGACACCTCAGCTGGGGTTTTCAAGGAAACGTATTCCCAGAAAATAGCTTCTTTCTGGACACCCCAGCTGGGGTTTTGAACCAGAAATAGCTTCTTTCTGGACACCAAAGCTGGGGTTTTGAAGGAAGCGTCCCCCAGAAATAGCTTCTGGACACCTCAGCTGGGGTTTTGAAGCAAGCGTCCCCCAGAAATAGCTTCTTTCTGGACACCTCAGCTGGGGTTTTGAAGGAAGCGTCTACCAGAAATAGCTTCTTTCCGGACATCTCAGCTGGGGTTTTGAAGGAAGCGTCCCCCAGAAATAGCTTCTTTCTGGACACCTCAGCTGGGGTTTTGAAGGAAGCGTCCCCCTGAAATAGCTTCTTTCTGGACACCTCAGCTGGGGTTTTGAAGGAAGCATCCCCACAGAAATAGCAGAAATAGCTTCTTTCTGGACACCTCAGCTGGGGTTTTGAAGGAAGCGTCCCCAGAAATAGCTTCTTTCTGGACACCTCAGCTGGGGTTTTGAGAAATAACTTCTTTCTGGACACCTCAGCTCGGGTTTTGAAGGAAGCGTCCCCCAGGAGTAGCTTCTTTCTGGACACCTCAGCTGGGGTTTTGAACCAGAAATAGCTTCTTTCTGGACACCAAAGCTGGGGTTTTGAAGGAAGCGTCCCCCAGAAATAGCTTCTGGACACCTCAGCTGGGGTTTTGAAGGAAGCGTCCCCCAGAAATAGCTTCTTTCTGGACACCTAAGCTGGGGTTTTGAAGGAAGCATCCCCCAAGAAATAGCTTCTGTCTTTACACCTCAGGTGTGGTTTTGAAGGACCCCGCAGAAATAGCTTCTTTCTGGACACCTCAGCGGGGGGTTTTGAAGGAAGCGTCCCCGCAGAAATAGCTTCTTTCTGGCACACCTCAGCTGGGGTTTTGAAGGAAGCGTCCCCCAGAAATAGCTTCTTTCTGGACACCTCAGCTGGGAACACCTCAGCTTGGGTTTTGAAGGAAGCGTCCCCCAGAAATAACTTCGTTCTGGAAACCTCAGCCGGGGTTTTGAAGGAAGCGTCCCCCCAGAAATAGCTTCTTTGTGGACACCTCAGCTGGGGTTTTGAATCAGCTGGGGTTTTGAAGGAAGCGTCTCCGCAGAAAATAGCTTCTTTCTGGACACCTCAGCTGGGGTTTTGAAGGAAGCGTCCCCCAGAAATAGCTTCTTTCTGGACACCTCAGCTGGGGTGTTGAAGGAAGCGTCCCCCAGAAATGGCTTCTTTCTGCACACCTCAGCGGGGGGTTTTGGAGGAAGCGTCCCCCCAGAAATTGCTTCTGTCTTTACACCTCAGCTGTGGTTTTGAAGGAAGCGTCCCCCAGAAATAGCTTCTTTCTGGACACCTGAGGTGGAAGCTATTTCTGGTAGAAGCACTGGACACGGTGTCAGCATCATCACGGTCCGGATCATCAGGCGCCAGTGTCAACAGGACCACCTGTAATGGTAGCAACCTCCATGCGTCGTTCCCAAACACCGCCTGCATGGGGAGCTTGGCCAGGTGCCGAGGCTCGCAGCACAATTTCTCTGGGAAGAAGTTGGCGTAAATGCGACGACAAGCCCGGAAGCAGGCGATCCGGCAGAACTTGAGGGTCCGCCCGCATGTGGATCTGACAGGAAGAGCCAAGCGTGGAGATGTCACCGGGCCAACCACGAGCTTACAATGTTTGCCACGCGCTGGCATGAGACCAGGCTGCTCCAGTACGACATGTTGTTTCTGAAAGATGTGCTTGGGGATATTCCCAATATGCCAGGCATTGTGATCATCAAAACCGAGGCTACCCATCACCTGGCGAGCTGTCAGAGTGGCACATCCACAGATAACCGCCAAGATAGTCCGAGACGGTGGGTTTGCGGCATCCACGTACTGTGGTGTTTGCGGCAAACGCATGAGCGTCCGTGGGATGTAAGGTTGAGCGGCAAAGTCTTCTGCCAGGCACGCACGCCCTTCTTGCAAGGAGCTGGCCTTGCTCCCCCGTGGGAGGACAGCGAAATAATACTGGAAAGCACAGGGGCCTCCGGAAAGACTGGGCAATTCAACATGGTCAGACCTGCAATAGAGATGACGCCCGCTCAGGGGACGCTTCCTTCAAAACCCCAGCTGAGGTGTCCAGAAAGAAGCTAGGGGACGTTTCCTTCAAAACCCCAGCTGAGGTGTCCAGAAAGAAGTTATTTCTGGGGGGACGCTTCCTTCAAAACCCCAGCTGGTGTCCAGAAAGAAGCTATTTCTGTCGCTACGCGCTCCACCGGCGCCAGCTGGACACCTCAGCTGGGGCTTTGGGAAGCGTCCCCCCGAATAGAGGAATGCTTTTGGGCAGAAGCGGATGTTTGAACGTGGAGAAAGCTGGATGCTGCACTTGGGTCTTGGACATGGGAACAATTGGTGGGTGTCACTGTTCGAGGGAAACCATCTGAGGCAATGATACGTAAAATGTTTCACCGGCAACGGAAAATGCGTCACCACCACCCAACAACATGGGAGCCCTGAAATGCAAACCACCATGACATTGCAAACCCTCTTTGGCTCTTTTGATGTCTCATCAAGCTTGATAACACATGCAAACAAAAAGGAGAGCGAATCGAGATGAGAGTAACCTGGATGAGCGAATTTATGTCAAGGTGGCTCCAGCATTGAGAGTTGGAATGAACTTATACGAGACTTGAAAACGACTCGCTCCACCTCTCATCAATGGTTTTTTGAAACACCACTATGGGCGATAAATCGATTTACGGTGATGGCTGCTTTTCTGCAACCCAACTTCGAACGGAAAAGGCCAATTGCTGCAACTGGGCTACCTGGCTCCACAGTGATCGTGTTTCGTCAACTGGCCAAGCTGAACAGTAAATGAACGAATCTTAGGTGGACATGAGAATTTCTGCTCGAAGGGATAATGTCAAGCTGCTCCTGGTCGCAGCAAAAGATCGAGCTCTAGCTGGCACTCATTTCTCGTTCCGACAACTTGTCAGGCCAGCCTTTGCGCAAACTGGCTTGCTCAAACTATGCCTGATGTGTGCTGCAAGCGACCGCTCCTTATTGGCAAAGGCTTCTGAAACCTTGCCAAAGACAGCAGCTTGGGGTTTCAAACGGAGACTGACTCACCCTGGACCTTGGTTTCTTCCCCCATCCACGTGTCCGCCTCGAGGCGTAACGCCATGGCGCCTGGAAGCGTGTTTTTTGCCAGGATCGACCCTTCAAAGGACACTGGTTGCAATTACAACCTGCTCTTTAGGTTAAGGCCATGGACCAAAACATTTCCTCAAAAGCGGCGTTTGAACACTCCTCCCGGCTTGGCGCCGGAAGTCGCCCGGCAGCTCTGACTCAAGCCGCTCATCTACCACCTCCGTGGCGTTCTTGATCTCGGCACCCGCACTGGCCGAACAGCCAGCGATCATCGTGTAGTGGAATTGGAGCCCGAACTCTGTCCTAAGTACCGGTTCGATACTTCTTGCGGGGTTCCGTCCTCCATGCTCATCTGTGAAGGGGTCGTCCCGCTCCACCTGCAGCACCAAAGCTTCTCCTTGAGATGCGGCGCAGCTTGTCCGGTCATGTCCGGTCTGGTCTCAGTTTTTCCTGCACCTTGATGCGCCCCTCCCAACCAAGAGCCCTCGGCTGTGTTCCGCATGCTCCAGGCAGGATTGACCCCTTTTCCTTTCTCCTCTCCGGGACTTCCAGCCTTCCACGAGATAGCGGCAAGCCATAGCCTTTCTTCAATGGGGCCGCAAGGTCAAGGCTCAGAACATCCTTTTGCGGCCGAAGCAGTTTGGAAGACCATTCTCAATCCAGCTCAGCTTGCATGCCCGGACTTCCTCGCCATGGATGTCGCCACCGCCAGCGCCAGCATTCATCCAGGCACCCAGCGAGCCAATGCCTTCGTCTGCCGCCCTCGTCTGTTCTAACCTTCACAGTCGGCACCTCAAACTCCAGCTTCCCTGCAAGTTCACAGCGTCACCTCCGCAGTCACACTCGTCATCTCCAGGAAACCTTCCTCGTCTCTCAAGCTCCCACTGTGGCGTTCTCCACCTTCTGATTTGAACATTTCGTCCTGGCGGTCCTCCTCCAGTAGTGCTCAGGGCGACGTTGGTCCATCCTGACCCTGTGAATCCTCCGTCCACATCGGCTGTCTCCCTCCTTCGCCCGTTCCGCTCCGCGGCAGCGGGATGTTCATCAGCCCTTGCTCCGGATGAAGTCCCCCCCCGTCGCCAGGATCCGCCATCAGTGTTTTCGGCTCATAACCTATGTTGCGCTATTTGGGAGCAGCACTCTTTTTCTATTCCTTTCTAAAATCTTGATCTAAAAGCGGCCGTCGGACGACAACAGTTCACCATCCTGAGTCCTCCAAGAAATCACCCAAGCGACGAGTCTTCATGCGTAGAACATGGAAATTACAACGGAAATGAGATGGCACCTTCTACTTCTACCAGCACTTCTGGTGGTAGATAGTACGTGTGCAAGGAAGATTAGCAATGATTGTCACAGCCCGCACTTGCTTCACCTATCCGCACTGCTCAACGCTCCAGCAACTCAGGAATTGGAAGGATGTTGCTTACCGTTGGACGATGCACTGTCAAATTGATGCTTTAGTCGTCTTGGTGCTATCCCACACAACTCAAAGCGGATGGGTGGGATGGGATCTTGAATCTGTGACTCGAATTGTGTGACCAGTTTCATGGTTAACAAAAACGGCTACGTATAAATGACACAAACCCAGCCTTCTTTCAGCGCAGGTTTTGGCAAGGATTCGTGAGCCCTCGTCATTTTGGCAACTAAAACTGTGGTTTCAGCGCCGTTCTGGAAAGGAATCTTGCGAATCAGCGCTGAAAGGCTCGAATCCTTGAAGGATCCCTGAATCAGCGCCATTTTGGCAAGGATTTGAAGAAGCAAGGGTCCGCCGAATCAGCGCTGCTTCGTGGATTTCCGCTAAGACATAGGCAAACAGATGCGACAGTTGAGAGGAGCATAAAGCAATAGCACACCCATGAAAGTTAAATACATGTGTAAAAAATAAGGTCAAACATGTAACATTATTTAACATTCATTTAACATTCAGTTTCCTTTTACTTTATACAAAGGTAACTGAATGTTAAATGGGTGTTAAATAATGTTCTATATTTCACATTTATTTAACATTTGTAGTTTGGCGGCTGCTCCCAAAAGGTTTCACTTGGTGGGAGCCCTGTGGCATGGACACCTGCAAGTCAGGAGCATTTTGCTCCTCAAATCATCGCTTACCCGATTTGGCACGGAGCCCCGCTTACCCGAATCAGCGCTGATTTAAACGAATCCTCGCTATCAAATCCTCGCCGTCTGAATTCCGCCTCCGGCAAAGAAACATGTTGTGCCCTGAATTCCGCCTCCGGCAAAGAAACTTGTGGCCACGAGGCAGGGCAACTTAACTGAAGGCCGAGGCTACAACTTGTTTGTCGCTTTGTTGCTAAGGTGTCGGACTGCGTTGGAATCAGCAAGACCCAAGCAGACCCACGTCAAGAACCTAACAAATCCCAAGAGAACAGCAGTTGAGCAAGGAAAAACCTTGTCACCCATGAAGGAAACGCTGGCGGAAAGCTTCCGCCAACCCAAAGGCCGCCTATGCTGGCCTTGTAGAAGATGGAGCTTACAAATAGCTTGCGACTCGTGGCAAGCATTTGTGAAGTTGCTCGTGCCTGCAAGGAAGGGCGGGGCAGCATAACAGAGCAACAGCTTGCAAATGGAAAGGTGCAAAGGCCTCGCTGCTGCACAGACTCGCAGTGACCTGGAGGGCCAAAAGTCCATAAGGCCAATTCGTGCAGTCTTTTTTGGTGGTCCCTTATGTAGATTGAATGGAAGGGAAACCCCAACAATCCACCATGTTCTCGCAAGAGAGCACGTGCAAGTGTTTGGTGAAAGTTTCAGTGCGCCCGTCGAGGACAAGGCGCCCTTTGTCGAACCCGGAGGCAAGTTCTGGCGCAGAGCACACAGAGGCACGAGCCTGAATCATTGCGGGTTGGGAAAAAACTTTTCCAGCCCCGAAAAGTTTCCCACCAAATCCTTTGCAACACGGTGTGGCTTCACTATGCTTCACTTCTTCCCTAGGAACTGGCTGGCCCCCTTTTCCCATAGGTCAAGCCTCTTGCCAAATTTTGGAAGTGTGGCGATTTTGTTGGAAGCATTCTGTAAGCCATTGTAAGCTGCGCCTTCTCTTCCTTTGTCTCACACAGGCATTTGTCTCCGCGAGTGTTGTTGTTGGATTCTTTTCAAATCAAGGACGTGCAGCGCAGTGTGCTGCAGGGTGCTGCTGCAGGCCGAGGCTCAGAGTTGCGCAGGGTGCCGTTGCAAGGTGCTGTTGATGCTGGCCGAGACTCAGAGTTGCGCAGGGTGCTGAGACTCAGAGTTGGGCAGGGCGCTGACGCAGAGCGCTGCTGCAAGGCGCCGAGACTCAGACTTGCGCGGGGTGCTGCAGGGTGCTGCAGCAGGCCGAGACTCAGAGTTGCGCACCTGCTGTCGGAGCCGTAGTCTTCCCGCAGTCTTCCCGGAGCGCTTTCTAGCTATCATCTTGTGTTGGCCAAGCCATTTGAAAGGCGGCGCGTAAAGCAAATCCATTAAAACATCGGCTCTGAGAGGCGGCGCGTTTAAACAAATCCACAAAAGCTTTGGCGAGCGAGTGCCAATGTTGCGACATTATCTGTGCATAGTTTGGCAAGCGAATTGCCGGAGCGCTCTAGCTGTTCTGAGAATTATGTTGGCCACTCATGCCCGGCACGGTAAGCAAACCCACGAAAACATCAGCTCTGAGAGGCGGCGCGTCAATGCTATGTTGTCGACTGTGAGAAATATTTGTCCGCTCTGCCGGGTGGCATGGCACGTGTGTCGCTGCATTCGAACGGGCATCTTTGGTTCGTTGGCTGACACCGCTCTCTGGCTATCTGGGGTGCTGGTATAATTTGGTGGTCCCTCATGTAATGTGGGTTCATTTGAAAGGGAAACCTGATCTACCCATTTGCAGATTCACCGCGCTGAGCCACTGGAACACGATGTGGCCCGCGTAGGTGCGCTCCACCTCTGACGCAAGGCGTTCTGAAGGCACGTGAGAGTGTCGCTTTTGCGGAGGCAAGGCCTAGTCAGGTCGCAAACAACGCGCAGGCAAGTGCCTTGTGCCAAATCTTTTACAGGTTGACTGCGTGAGGGGCTTAAAAGGGTCGAGATTTAATTTGGGATTTTTGTTGTTTTATTTTGGGATTTTTTTGTGTTCCGTCCTGGCTACTAAAATGCTGTAATTTACAGCATTTTCTCGCGAAATGTACGTATTTTACGCTAGTCCGTCAACATCATCAGCATCGTTTTCAACATCCCCCGCATGTCCAGCCAACATCGCCAGCATCACCAGCAAATTGGCTTCCCGCATCTCATGGTAAAAGTGAGGATTCAATTAAAGGCGCAGGGGGGTTGGGAGGGCGGCAGCCTTTTTTTTGGGGGGGGGGCGGCAGCCCCCCCATGATGCCCCCCCCCATGATGATTGAAAAAGTAATGATTCAATTAAAGGCGCGGGGGTGTTGGGGCCGCCCCCCCATGATGATCGAAAAAGTGATGATTCAATCAGGGGCAAAAAGTCTAAAAATAGCGGGGGGGGTTGGGGGGGGCGGCAGGCCCCCCCCATGATGATCGAACAATTAGGGGCAAAGAATCTAAAAAGTAGCGGTCGCATGATGATCGAAAAAGTGATGATTCAAACAGGGGCAAAAAGTCCAAAAAATAGCTGGGGGGTTGGGGGGGGGCGGCAGCCCCCCCCACGATGATTGAAAAAGTGATGATTCAATTAGGGCAAAAAAATATATAAAAAAAGCAGCGGGGGTGGCATCAGTGCCTCTGCGCCAAGCCCTCATGGTACAAGTGAGGGTTCAAATACGGGCAAACTAATCCCTGCAGATCGAAAAAGTGATGATTCAATCAGGGGCAAAAGTCTAAAAAATAGCGGGGGGTTGGGGGGGGGGGCTGCCGCCGCCCCCCCCATGATGATCGAACAATTAGGGGCAAAGAATCTAAAAAGTAGCGGCAGGATGCGAAAAGCCAAAGCCAGAAAGCCGCCAAAAGCCAAAAAGCCAAAAAGCCACCGCGGAACTGGCAATGCAGAGGATGCGAAAAGAGAGGAACTGTGAATGCAGATGATGCGAAATGAAAAGCCACGAAAGCCACAAAAACCCACGTAAAAGCCACAAAAGCCAAAAAACCGAAAAGCCACCGACCGTGAAAAACAAAAATAATTCCCAAAACAAAAACGAAAAAATCCTAAAAAAAATGGCCCTCCGGCTTAAAAAGACACAAAGTGATGCAACCTCACTTTTGTGAAGGAAAACCACAAAAAAAAAACAACACTCGTGGGCCTGTGTCAGGCAAAGCAAGGGAAGGCTTTGGCACAGCTTACAAACGGCTTACAAAATGATTCCAACAGAATCGCCGCACTCCAACTCACAAACTTGGCAAGAGGCTTTGCCCTGCAGGAAAAAAGGGAGCCAGCCAGTGCCCAGGGAAGAAGCAAAGCCACACCGTGTTGCCAAGGATTTGGTGGGAAACTTTTTGGGGCTCGACAGGCTTTTCCTTGACCTGCCAGGAGTCAGGCTCCCCGGACAAGATGAGAGACCACTACGTGATCAAGTCTTGATATCTTGGGTGGCCATCGCTTTTTTCCAAAACAGTTGAAGGGAAGCAAACTTTTCGGGGCTCGAACAATTGTTTTCCAGCCACGAGCTTTGGTGCCTCGCCATGCCGACAAACCAAAAACAACTTGTTGGGCTCAAAAAGTTGCTTGCTCTTTGAGGTGCAAAGGCGCTTTCAAGCACAAACGGGCAGGCAGAGCAGAACCACTGTGCGATCAAGTCTTGATACCTCAGGCTGGCGCGATTTTCAACACGTTGAGGCGGGCTTCAAAGTGAGAAGCCCCAAAACGTGTTGGGGGGCAGCCACAGGCTTTTTTGTGCTTCGGGGCCGCGCAGATGGTCCAAGCCCGAGATGCAAACGTAAAAAAGCAAAGTCACAAAACCAAGCCCGGACTGGGGTTTCAGAATCAAAAAGGACAGGTCCCCCCAAAAATGCTTTTCGGGCTCGAAAAGTTGTTTTCCAAACACGAGCTTTTTGATGCTCAAGCTGGCCAACACGCTGTGGGTTGAAAAATTGCAATTTATTTGCATCCCTTTCCTGAACTTGTTGCTCGAAAGAGCCCACTCCAGCAATCTGATCCCATTTTCACCTACAGGCACATAGAGCTTACGGAAAGCGTACGACTGGTGACTCATGCATGCAGTTTACGAATCTCGCAAAAACGCTGACGGCTGCAGAGTAACTTCCATGTTTCATCTAGTTTCATCTACGGAAGTTTTTGTTCGCCGCCCAGTTGCCTCTGACCTAAACACGTGGCTGCTCCAGCACAGTGCAATTCTGCTCCGGCTGAAGACTCCTAAAGCCAAACAAACCGAACAAAACAAACAATCAAGCAGAAAAAGACAAACAAACAAGCAAGCATAAAAAGACAACCAAACAAACAAACAAACAAGCAAGCAGAAAAACAAGCAAACAACACAAGCAAGCAAACAAACAAGCAAACAAACAAACAAGCAAACAAACAAGCAAGCAAACAAACAAGCAAACAAGCAAAACAACAAACAAACAACACAAACATGCACCCCCCCCAAAAAATGACTTCCTGTTCATACGGGAGTATGTCGGGTTCCACGCGATTGCTTGGAATGAAACACAACACATCGAGCCCGCAAGCACACATTGACATGTTCCTATCCTTCGCATCCCAACTCTTCTGGCCACGCAGGCAGCGATAGAAAACGCCGCAAATCAAACGAACAACTTCTTCAAAACTGGGGATACTGAGAGGGGACCCCTTTGTGAACTGAATGGATTGCTTTTTCTGCCAAAGGGTCACCCGAGTCCAATTTAGGAGCCCGTCTTTTTGGACCCTCGGGGTTTGCGACTCTCTCACTCGCGCTTGGGGCCGCCGCACACAATCAGCGCCAGGAATGGGTCGGAATCACCGCCACAGGCTTCAAAATCCGCTGTGCTTGGGGGGGCCCTTGTCACAAGTTGCGTTCGTAAAATGGCTGATAGCTTTGGTGAAATTACATCGACTTCCCTGTTCGCCCGATTTGGAGTGATAGCAATGTCAATGTCAATTCAATAAACTTCCCAGTTCAACCGATTTGGAGTCAGATTGGCCCAAATGCGCTGGCTCCGTTGTGGTTGCTCCTCAATACCAGAACCCGTTTGCTGGATGTTGCACTTCTGAAATCAATGCGCGTAGAAATGAACCAATAGCATACACCGATGAACTAACCATAACCTTCTCTGGAAATCCTCCGCCGGCACGTGTTGGATAGTTTGAGCCTGGCAAACTCAAAGCAGGAAGCAATCACAAGCAAGCAAACAGTCAGGGTTCTCCAGCGAGCGACCCAGTTCCACATTAACACTCAACGCGCAACCAATTGGCGTACGGCCATCATTTTCGCAGAATCTGTTAGCATCGGCTTCCAGCAAACAACGCACTACTTCAGCATGGCCAGCCGAAGCAGCCAAGTGCATGGACGTCCGGCCATCCTTGTCGCACACATCCTTGTTGGCACCGGCTTTGAGAAAGCAACGCACCACATCCACATTGCCACCCTCAGCAGCAAGGTGTGTTGGCGTCACTCCATCTTTGTCGTACACATCCTTGTTGGCATCGGCTTTCAGCAAGCAACACACCACATCTACGTTGCCACCCTCAGCAGCAAGGTGAATTGGCGTCTGGCCACGGTTGTCGCACACATCCTTGTTGGCAGCGGCTTCCAGCAAGCAACGCACCACTTTCACATTGCCATCAAAAGCAGCAAGGTGCAGTGGCGTCCTGCCAAAGTTGTCGCACGCATCCTTGTTGGCATCGGCTTCAAGCAAGCAACGCGCCACTTCAACATGGCCAGCCGAAGCAGCCAAGTGCATGGGCGTCCGGCCATCCTTGTCGCACACATCCTTGTTGGCACCGGCTTTGAGAAGGGAACGCACCATATCAACATGGAGAACCACAGAATAAATATAAGACACAGCGGCAGCAGCAAGGTGGAGCGGCGTCCTGCCAAAGTTGTCGCACGCATCCTTGTTGGTCCCGGCGTCCAGCAAGCAACGCACCACATCCACATAGCCATTGTCAGCAGCAATGTGTATTGGCGTCACGCCATCCTTGTCGCACACATCCTTGTTGGCACCGGCTTTCAGCAAGCAACACACCACATCTACATTGCCACCCTCAGCAGCAAAGTGTATTGGCGTCCCGCCATCCTTGTCACACACATCCTTGTTGGCACCGGCTTCCAGCAAGCAACGCACCACTTTCACATTGCCATGAAAAACAGCAAGGTGCAGCGGCGTCCTGCCAAAGTTGTCGCACGCATCCTTGGCATCGGCTTTCAGCAAGCAACACACCACATCTACCTTGCCACCCTCAGCAGCAAGGTGAATTGGCGTCTGGCCACAGTTGTCGCACACATCCTTGTTGGCACCGGCTTCCAGCAAGCAACGCACCACATCCACATTGCCATCAAAAGCAGCAAGGTGCAGCGGCGTCCTGCCAAAGTTGTCGCACGCATCCTTGTCGGTCCCGGCTTCCAGCAAGCAACGCACCACATCCGCACTGTGACTCTCAGCAGCAAGGTGCAGGGGCGTCTTGCCACAGTTGTCGCACACATCCTTGTTGGCACCGACTTCCAGCAAGCAACGCGCCACATCAACATAGCCATTCTCAGCAGCAAGGTGAATTGGCGTCTGGCCACTGTTGTCGCACGCATCCTTGTTGGCATTGGCTTCCAGCAAGCAACGCACCACATCCACATTGCCATCAAAAGCAGCAAGGTGCAGCGGCGTCCTGCCAAAGTTGTCGCACGCATCCTTGTCGGTCCCGGCTTCCAGCAAGCAACGCACCACATCCGCACTGTGACTCTCAGCAGCAAGGTGCAGGGGCGTCTTGCCACAGTTGTCGCACACATCCTTGTTGGCACCGACTTCCAGCAAGCAACGCGCCACATCAACATAGCCATTCTCAGCAGCAAGGTGAATTGGCGTCTGGCCACTGTTGTCGCACGCATCCTTGTTGGCATTGGCTTTCAGCAAGCAACACACCACATCCACATTGCCACCCTCAGCAGCAAGGTGAATTGGCGTCTTGCCACTGTTGTCGCACGCATCCTTGTTGGCATTGGCTTCCAGCAAGCAACGCGCCGCTTTCGCATTGCCATCAAAAGCAGCCTTGTGCAGCAGCGTCCAGCCCATCCAGCCGAATGTGTAGTGTATGGCACCGGCTTCAAGAAAGCAACGCAACACATCAACATTGCCGTTTATAGTAGCAAGGTCTACTAGCGTCAGGCCATCCTCGTCGCATACGTGAGCACTGGCTTTCAGCAAGCAACGCACCACTTTCACATTGCCATCAAAAACAGCAAGGTGCAGCGGCGTCCTGCCAAAGTTGTCGCACGCATCCTTGGCGTCGGCTTTCAGCAAGCAACACACCACATCTACCTTGCCACCCTCAGCAGCAAGGTGAATTGGCGTCTGGCCACAGTTGTCGCACACATCCTTGTTGGCACCGGCTTCCAGCAAGCAACGCACCACATCCACATTGCCATCAAAAGCAGCAAGGTGCAGCGGCGTCCTGCCAAAGTTGTCGCACGCATCCTTGTCGGTCCCGGCTTCCAGCAAGCAACGCACCACATCCGCACTGTGACTCTCAGCAGCAAGGTGCAGGGGCGTCTTGCCACAGTTGTCGCACACATCCTTGTTGGCACCGACTTCCAGCAAGCAACGCGCCACATCAACATAGCCATTCTCAGCAGCAAGGTGAATTGGCGTCTGGCCACTGTTGTCGCACGCATCCTTGTTGGCATTGGCTTTCAGCAAGCAACACACCACATCCACATTGCCACCCTCAGCAGCAAGGTGAATTGGCGTCTTGCCACTGTTGTCGCACGCATCCTTGTTGGCATTGGCTTCCAGCAAGCAACGCGCCGCTTTCGCATTGCCATCACAAGCAGCCTTGTGCAGCAGCGTCCAGCCCATCCAGCCGAATGTGTAGTGTATGGCACCGGCTTCGAGAAAGCAACGCAACACATCAACATTGCCGTTTATAGTAGCAAGGTCTACTAGCGTCAGGCCATCCTCGTCGCATACGTGAGCACTGGCTTTCAGCAAGCAACGCACCACTTCCAGCTTGCCATGATTAGCAGCAAAGCGAATTGGGGTACAGCCACGGTTGTTTTTCATCATGCTGTTCCCACCAGCTTCTAGCAAGCATTGCACGACTTCTAGATTGCCTGTTTGAGCAGCAACATGCATTGGGCTGCTGCCGTCATTCTTGCCCCTGTCTTTGTCAGCACCGTGAGCAAGCAGGCAAGCAACAAACTCCACATTGCCCCAGTGAGCGGCAATATGGAGGGCAGTTGAGCCATCAAGCTCGATGGAGGCGTTTGGGTCACAAGGCTTTGCCAAGAACGCAAGCTGCTCAGTGTCGCCAAATCGGGCTGCCGCTCTTAGCTCGTCCCTTTCTTCTGCCTCAAGCTCCAAGAATGGCCGTGACACCACCAGAAGGGAGTTGTCACTATTCCAAGGGCTGTCTGGCTTAAGCACATGTTCTCCGCACACCAAGTCTAATCGCCTGAAATTGACGAGCTGCATCCGCCTAGCCACTTCCTGCCTCAACACATCGATAAAGCATGCACCCTCTTCCCGAAGCTCATATGTTTGAGTCCACCACTGGGCGAATTCGCGCACAGTCATCACATCTTTGCCACTACAGGCCATGTTGATGCAGGCCATGGCTGGTAGAGCAGGCGAAACCTATCCAAACTTGATGCAGGCCAGCTGGTTGTCCATTCCACACGAGCACAAGAGAAGCTGGCGAGCCCCCTCATGGCAAGGAAATCTGAGGCGTTGAAGTGGGCACCAAAACAACGCTGACCATCGAAATTACAGGGGACCCACTGCCTTGTGCACAGCCCAAATCAAAATGTCCCCTGCTTTTCGAGAAAAACATGCAGCACCCAACGACCTGCCAACGACCTGCCAACGACCTCAGCGCAGCGCGGTGAGTTGTTCGCGGCACCCTTGCCTGGGCCGGGCGCTGCTAAAATGGCTCCCTGTGCTTCCCTCCTTTAAGGGTGATTGGGTAAAAATGGCAGGTCTTGACACGTTGACTGATTGTTTATCAAGAATCGAGTAGTTTGCTTCGTGGAAAAAACCGGGATCTTCAACAGGTGACTGTCAATATCACCTCTTGCGGGAAACCCTGGAGACACCTCCCCACACATCCCTGAATGCGGTGTGCACCACACATTGCCAGCATAATCTAACAAACTACAAATCATGTATGCGCCCCGTGCCATCTACACATACAGCAAAAAGCGAAGACACAAAACATTAAGCCTGTAATTATGATAAGGAGAAGAACAAGGAGGGTGAGGACAACGATTCAAATGATAAAGAAGAAACCATAAGAGGAACATGAAGACGAGGATCATGATGCCGAGGATGATTGGTTGATTGATTGATTGATTGATTGATTGATTGATTGATTGATTGATTGATTGACTGACTGATTGACTGATTGGTTGGCGATGGTGGTGGTGATGCTAACGAGGCTGCTGAGGGTGATTGCAACGACGATGATGATGATGCTGATGGTGATGACCGTGGTGATGGTGATGCTGACGATCGATGGTGATGGTGGTGATAATGATGATGATTAATTACTCTAACGACAATGGTGTAACGATGATGACGGATATTGTTGACGATGAGGAAGAGGAGGAGAACGACGACGACGATGAAGAAGACAAAGATGCGACATGGTGATGAGGAGGAGGAGTATATGAGCATGAGGATGAGGAATGATGAGCAGGAAGAGGAGAAGGAGAAGAAGAAGGAGCACGAGGAGGCAGAGAAGGAGAAGGACGAGGAGGACGACGACGACGGTGGTCCGACTGGTATGATCTGATTGTTGCCGTGTTTAGAAATCCATAAGCTGAAAGAATCTTTGTTGGTCCGACTG